TAGACAAGAAAACTAAGGGCAAAAATCAGCAAAATTAAAAAAGTATCCACTAAAACCTAATGGGATGTTTAAAAGCACCTAATGGATCAAGACATGAAATCATACGAGCTATAATTATCAAACAAGAAATATAGCATGAAAACAAAAAACTATGGAGTTAGCGTTTGTACATCTAATTGAGCAACTAATTAGCTATGCGACCTGACAGAAGTTGTAAGGAGGAATAGGGACAGAAGAAGTAGTGTATGGTATAATGCTCCGGCCAGCAGAAAAGGGGATGAGGTAGATCTTCCCACCAGCCTTTGCAAACACTATCTTTCAGGCTCAATTCAGATCTTTCTTCTTTTTTTTGTTTTTGTTTTTGTTTTTGTTTTTCTTCTGGTACCAGAAATTGAACTCAAGACCTGGTACTTGCCAGGCAGGCGCTTTGCCGCTGAGCTAAATCCCCAGCCCCCCAGGTCTTTCTTCTCAATGCAGTCTTCCATTTGATCTTCTCTCTCATTTCAATTGAATTTACAACTTATTTCAGAAATTTTATGAGAATCTCTCTCAGAGCCAAAGGAGCTAGTAGGGCCATTCAGCTAGGGACTCAAAACTCATAAAAGGCTACATGAATATTATTGCCAAATAAATTCCTTGAGGTAAGGAAGTATGTATATTACTAGCACTCATATAATATTTATCCTAGGGTTGAATATGTAAGAGATATATCACAACAATAATAAAAGTAACATATTCACAAAGCATTTATCACATGCAAGCACTGTTTATGGACTTTTTTCTGTATTAATTCACTTATCTCCAATAACCAACCTATGAAGTAGACATTATTAGTATGTCTATTTTATGGATGAAGAGACAGGCTAAAAGAAAGGTTAAATAAATTGTCATACAAAATGGTAAAACAAGGTTAGAATCCAGACAATCTTTATTGATAATCTTCAAATAATATGCACTGGAAATTGAGGGGTTAGGGAAAGAGATACAAATAATACTTATACTTTGGTTATTTTGCTGGATATTCTCTTTTTATTAACTCTGATTACTATAAAGTCTGCAAAACAGTCAACTGCTATTTTTGCTTTACTGATGCTGTTTAGATTCCAAGGTTACAAGAAAGGGAATGACAGAATTCAGACTGGAACAAAGTACTCCAGTTTTCTAAACTTAATCTATACCAGTTTATTAAACTCATTATTTGTTGTCTTTAAAAACATACCCTTCTGATACATTAAAAAAAATTACCAATATTCTTTTATCACATTATATCCAGAAACATTTAAAATAGAATTTAAAAAAACATTTACAATAATGTCTAATGTTAAGATCAAAATATGAGAAACAGTGCCACCAAATAACATAAAGGAAACTGATGCTTATCACAGACACATTTAGTAATATGAGTTGTGCTTTTCAGAGTTTCTAGTTTCATTTAGTCATCATTTTTATGTCTTAGGAGGGTAGATTACATCTTCCATGCCAAGTGTGAACTCCATGCAAGCTAGTTAGCTATGGGTGGGATGGGGTTCCTGCTCACTCTGAGATCTTAGCTCATGTGAAATGTTTGTAGATGTTGTATATATTGTGTATTTGTATTTTTGATGGATAACTTTTGAAATCTTGCAACAAAAACTTTAAAGCACAGAGTAAGGTACCAAAATAACCACTAAAAGTTGATACAGGGAGCCAAGCATGGTAGCATACTCCTATAGTTCCAGTAGTCTGGGAGGCTGAGGCAGGAGGACTGCAAGTTTGAGCCCAGCCTGGGCAATTTATCCATTTAGCCAGACCCTGTTTCAAAAAATAAAAAAGGGCTGGGGATTTACCTCAGTGAAAAGGCCCTGGGATCTCCAGCACAAGAAAAAAAATAATAATTTATTGATCTCTTTGTGGTAGCTTTATTACTTTACTATTGTTTACTGCGGTAAGATATAAAGAATATAAAAATTACCTCAACACATTTTAAGTGTGTAATTTAGGGACAGTAGGTCCATTCCCATTGTTGTCCAATCATCATTGAAGAACCACCAAAATATTTTCTACAGTGGCTGCACTATTTTATGTTTACACTAACAATGTACAAACAGTCCAGTTTTTCTACATGCTGACCAACAACTATTTTCATTTTTAAACATAATAATCATCCTCATGGGTGTAAAGTAGCATCTCACTGTGGTTCTGATTTGTATTTCCCTCATGTTGCATATTTTCCTGTGCATATTAGACGTCTGTATATCTTCTTTGGAAAAATGTCTACATGCATTTTTGAACTGAGTTATTTTGTCACTGTTGCCAAGTATTATGTAATTTTTTTATAAGGAATATGCACCATTTTAATTAAAAGAGGTGGGGCCAGGGATATAGCTCAGCTGCATAGTGCCTGCTTGGCAAGTGCAAGTTTGTGAGTTTGATTCCCAGTACAAAAAAAAATAATAACAAAAAAATCAAAGAGGTCAATATTCTAAAAATAAAAGCTGAATTCATTAACATAAAGTTTCATAAATGTACTTATTGAAACCAAAAATATAAAATATGCTTAGAATAGTTTTTAAAGAATCACAATTATGTTTCATGTTTTTTTCCATATGATTCTGGTATGTTCTTTTCCCCAAATTTGATAATTTATGTGAAAGCAATTGTTTATTATCTTTTGAAATACAGAATAATTAGGCAATCAATCTATACTGGGCTATTCACATTGGATTATATTTTCAATTAAACCTCAAAACTTTATTTTTTTAATTTTAAAGATAAAAGAACAAAAATATATTAATAGACACAGAGATATTTACAGAATTTCAGACAAGGTGATAGGAAATTAACAATGGTTGTTGTATCACATACTGGTATCTTCAAATTTGTTACCCAGATAAACAAATATAGGCATGTAAGATTGATCAAACATTAACTGTTCCTTTCAATAAAGCAATAGAAATCAGTAGTACAACTATCTTAGCTATCCTGTGTATATATACATATTTTTCCCTTCTTTCTTTCCTCTTTTCCCTCATCCCAGTTGTTCTTTCCTTTTGAGCAGTTTCTTTCCCTTTCATAATATCTATTGTACCTTTTAGATTTTATTCACTCTTTCAGGTTCTTATACCAGTGAGACAATACAGTGTTTACACATGCAGGTCTGATTTATTTTGCTTATGAGTATGGTCTCTAATTGTGTTCATTTACCTATAAAACCCTTGAGTTTATTTTTCTTTATAGCTGAGTAATACTCCACTATATAAAAATACCACCATTTTTTATCCAATCCTCAGTTGATGGACATTTGGGTTGCTTCCACGATTTTTTTTTTTTTTTGGTTTTTTTTCCAGTACTGGGAATAGAACTCACAACCTTGAGCTTGCCAGGCAGATGCTGTGACGCTGAGCTAAATCCCCAGCCCCTACTTCCACAATTTAGCTATTACAAATTACACTGGTATAAACATGGGTGCACATATATTGCTGATATGTTTTCAGTTCTTCTAGAAAACTACCCAAAAGGGAAATAGCTGGGTTGAATGGGACCTCTAATCCTAGCTTACTGAGGAATCTCCAAGCTGATTTTCACAGTGGTTTCACCAGTCTACACTCCCAACAGGAGAAAAGGATTCCTTTTTCCCTATAGCCCCTCCAACGATTGTTATTGGTTGATTTCTTGATAATAGCCATTCTTTCTGGGGTGAGACGGAATCTCAATGTTGTTTTAATTTACATTTCTCAAATGACTAATGATGTTGAACATTTTTTCATGTATTTGCCATTTGTATTTCTTTATCTGAGAAGTGTATAGTCATCTCAGATGCCCATTTTTGGACTGGGTCTTTGAATTAGAGGGGGGCTAATTTTTAAAAATTCTTTATATGTTCTAGATATAGTCCTTTGTCTGAGGGACAACTGGCTAAAATTTTTTCCTAATATATGAGTTTTCTTTTTACTCTGCTGGTGATTTCCTTAGATGTGCAAAAACTTTTCAATAGATGAGATAAACCTCAAAACTTTAAACTGTTAATAATTTGAAGAGTCAACAATTTTGAGTTATTGTATTTAAATGTTTGTTCCCTATAATATTTATCTAATCTATAACGTATCTTCCAATTTGGGGAAATTTCAGTTTACAATTTAGAAGCAGAATATTTTACCCTCCAAAATGGTATTTCATTAGTCCATATATGCAAAGGAATTTTCTTCTTTACATATTTTGTCTATTTTTCTATTGCATCTAGCTCATAAAATAAAAAGTCAATAAATTACTGACTCATAATTCCTGTCTTTCTACTCCTATAGCCAATACAACAGTTAGGCTTCTGTGCCAATGCTTCTGCTCTATCCTAATTTTCCTTTGGTTTTTTTGTTTTGTTTTGTTTTGTTTTTTCCGGTACTGGGAATTGAACTCACGACCTTGCACTCGCCAGGCAGGCGCTGTGCCGCTGAGCTAAACCCCCAGCTCCTGTAATTTTCCTATATTCCTTAATTCAGACAGTAGCACAGTGAAAGTTCTGAAAATTTAAAAGCTCCAAATTTACAATGAACAAAAACCTAAAGTGTCAGTCTGAAATACCTTTGTTGGAATAACATTCAATGAATGACCTTTCAATAAGGCTTAATTGAAGAAAATTCTCAAAAATATTGTCTCAAATGTCTAGTTCTTTAATTGCTTCTTAGTGCTTCATAATTATCAGTCCCAGGTGCTTCTCTTTTTCTAGAAGGATAAGTTCTTACCATTTACACAGATTAAGCATGGAGACTGTTATTCTAATTGTAGGTCTGTCCCAAAAATACTGATGTGCAAGAGGAACTGCATTAATGGTGGAAGGAAGGAAAGAGGAAAGGAAGAGGGAAAAAGTAAGAGCAAAGGGAGAAAGAGAAAATAAAGCACCATAAATAACATATAAAAAAAAATTTCAAGGGCCAGGGATGTAATAGTGGTCTTTACCCACTTTGCTCAAGGCCCTAGATCCAATCCCCAGCACATTAGGGGAGAAAAAAGAAAAAGACTTTCCTTACCTGCTTGTCCATTAGGAATCCACAGTCCACAGTGAGTGAGTGAGTACATCAAAATTTAGAGTCCGTAAGTAATAGCAGCTGGAATAGTTATCACAGTATTTAGTAAACAAGTCTTTTAACAAGAAGCTAGTATCACTAAGGACTCCACCAAAGGCCCCAAATGTACTAATTTCCCAATATTAGAAATAAGGATTCAGGACTGGAAGAATGGCTCAGTGGGAGAGTATGTTCCTACCAAGTGCAAGGACCTGAGGGGTATTGCCACCATAATTAAGCAATCAATGAGTAAAAGAATTCATATATTATACTATTAACATCTATAAACCCATCTGAGCTGGGCATCGGGGCTGAGGCAGGAGGACTGTTGTGAGTTCCAGATCACCCTGGGCTACAAAGTGAACTCAAGGCCAGCCTGAACTGCATACTGAGACTACTGGTCTACTCTATAAAAACTACTATGATGTGAAAATATGTACAATATCCTTTAGGCAACAGGTTTTTCTGGTTTTTCTTTTTTGTTTTTTGTGGTACTGAGGATTGAACTCAGGGCCTTGTACATGCTAGGCAAGCACTTTACCACTAAGCTACATCCCCAGCCCAAAACCGCAGGTTTTTGTAAAAGAGTCATGGTGCATGTACACACTGAGATATATTTTAAGTACATTATGAATGCTATTAGGAGCTTTTCCTTCTCACAGCATATTGAAGTACTAAATAATCTGAAAATTTTCACCCTATTCTAGACACATGTGATTTAAAATCATATATCATATATTACTGTTTTGTTTTTTAAGACATGGTCTCACTGTATAGTCCAGACTGGCCTTGAGCTCACTTACGTAGCCCAGGCTGGCCTCGAAATCAGTGATCCTCCAGGCATGCACCACCACATTCAGCTACCATATATTATTTTCTTAAATCCTGAAGCCATTTAATTGCCTCAATTAGCAAAACAGCTTCATACAGATGCATATTTAAAGTATTACATAAGCTTCTTTACTCTTAACTCTTCTGAACATGCACGTGAGTACTGACTTACCACGTTTTACTATAAGTTATTTGTAAAATATTATAGAATTTTACTCCTAGTTATATAAACAGCAGGTTCAAAAGAAGTTTATGTAGCTAACCGGTTTTAAAATAATTTTCTTTGAGTTTTTATTAGCTTACTACAGAAGACCTTCTAACAGACTTAAGAGTGGCCCTGTATTCTACTATGCCACAAAATGTTTCTTTATTTTACAACTAACCAACTACCTCCAATTGCTGACATTTTATAATTGGTAAAAGTAACAATACATTCTTTACTATTGCAGTCATGTGTTGTTGATTATTCAGAGAGAGGAAGTATCAAAATTCATTTTTAAACAGCAGCAAGATGTAATGTTTCAAACATACAGGGTTTGAGGGTACATAAAGAGATTTTATAACAAATATTAAACTTTTTCATGTTCTCACATGTGTTCTTTTTATTTAGAAGGAATAAACCTCAATGAGAAAAACTCTCAAGGTTATAGACACTTTGTACAGTAACAATTTCTCTAGTAACAATTTTGATTAGAAATCAAATTTATTCTTTTCTAAATATTGTGAAGAGACCTTGCAACACATTAAGTAAATCAAATTCTCTCATTAGCACCTCAAAAATACAATAAGAAACATGAGATTTAAAATCCAATAAAAATTCACTGACATTCTTCACCTTTAATATTTCTTTCACATACAATGATTCAACATTCTTAGCAAGAGAATTACTGTTTGACCAGAGTTCCTACATAAAAAATGTTTTTTCACATTACCCTATATCCTTAATACTACATGCTTATTAAAAGTGTTCTGGGGGGAAAGGCAGAAAGCAAAATCGTCCCAGATACATAGATAATATGTCAAAGTCCAAATAAAATGCATTGCACAAAGTCACTACCAAAAGTAAGGTACTCACCTGAAAGAAATGATTGCAATATATATATGTGATATACACACTGTGATTCATTCAAAAGCATTTTAAAATCTGTGTTGATTTTTAAGAGTAAATAATTTCAATGATTAAGTTTACTGACTACTAAAGAAAAGATTTCATAACAATACTTACAAGTAATTATTTAACGAATAAATATATCAAGGCATGCATGGATCATTCTCTAAAGCAACTAAAGGGATGCTTAAATCAAATCTATGTAATATGAAATATGTTCAAAATAAATTCCTTAGGAAAGAAAGGTCTTAGTATGCCATCAGGAAAAGTTATAAATAGGTAATTTCAAAATATTGTTATATTCTTTTGTACTCTATTTTTTAATAAGCCAGGCCATAAGTATATACTGTGAAATCTAAATTACATATACCTTGGTGATCACTTAAGTCTACCAGCTGGACTAAATTCCTTAAGATAAGTAGAGTGTAGTAGTTCATATTAAGCCCAAGCTATTTGGGAAACTAAATCAGGGGGATTGCTTAAGACCAAGGAGGCCAATCTGGGCAACATAAAAAGACCCTATCTGAAGGAAGGGAGGAAGGGAGGAAGGGAGGGAGGGAGCTCCATAATATAGTCTATATTGTACTAAAAAGTGATACTCTGTATCTTAAAATTCATGTATATTTCAATATTTCATTAAATTTCTAAAATATCATTTTCCCATTTTAAAAGAGTGATTTAGTTTGTATATATGTATATTGTCCAGAAAGTAAATCTTTGTACATAATAAGTGCCCATTCGCAAGAGGCACTAAGTAGAAATAAAGTATTTTTTAAAAAAAAACTTGAAAAAAATATAAAATGCTCTAATCAAATTAGTTTGTGTGGGGCCAGGGATATAGGTCAGTGGCATAGCACTTGCCTGGCAAGTCTAAGGTCCTGAGTTTGATTCCCAGTACCCCCACCCCCAAAAAAAAGAAAAGAAAAGAAATTAGTTTGTGTGTATGAAACATCTTGTGTAGAGTATTGTTCTGGGTACTGTGAAGGGTATGCATGCATGTGCACAGATACACACACAACACACACTGAATAAAGACTACATGAAACAACTACAGAAGATTATCAATTCTAAAATAACATTTTTTTAGAAATGGATAATTTCTGATGGATAAGTGATTGCCCATGGTTAAGGACATCAGGGGGTTTGTGTAGCTACAAAAGGGACAACACAAGAGATCCTTACAATGATGAAAGTGTTTTGCATCTTGACTAAGGTGATGATAGATGCATACAAGATGAATTTGTATAGACTGAAAGACACATACACACACAGACAAATGCAACTGGGGGAACCTGAGTAAGATCACTGAGTTTTTATCAATAGTATCAACCTGGTTCTGATAATACTGAAGTTTTGTAAGAGATTATCTTTCATGTAAACTGTGTATTATTCCTTACGAATTCTTGTGAATCTAAATTATCTCAAACTTACAAGCTTTTTTAAAAGATAAAAAAATTGAACTTTCTCCACGTTGAATATATCACCCCCCTAAACAAAAAAGAGAAAAAAGAAAAAGCACTTAAGAAATAAACACCAAGATCCCAGTAACAAGAAATTACTACTGCACATAGGTGCACTGGTAATGCCCCTCCAAGAAATCCAAAGTAAAATTAGGTTTAAATATTCTTGCTCTGTCAATATGTCCTCTATACTTAATGATGTGTTATATTAGTTTTGAAGAGCCTATGCAACAAACTGAAGACTTCTTATGACAGAATAATGATAAATTGCTCCCTTACCATTCAGGTGGTGGTGGAATGATCTTTAATGCAAAAAAAAAAAAAAAGAAAAAAGAAAAACAAAGTAGAGAGAGGGAGAGGGAGAGCGAGGAAGAGGGGGAAAGGTAGTGAGGGATAGAAAGCACCCTAAAGATTGCTCTAAGCCAGGTTTTTATTCTTACCTACTTCCAATCTCTTGGAAAAGAATCAAGCTTATCGCGTCCCTTTCACTAATACAAGACAAGAAACACTGTAAATCAGTCTGGAATTCCTTGCTGTGAAGAAACAGGAGGTGATCAAAGAGGGTGACAAGAATCCGCACCCGGGCAAAATGGGTCTGATTAAGGGAGATTCCGCTCCAGGAAAAACGGCTCCCACGCAATGCCCGGGGCCTGGACTCAACCTGACAGCCTGCCCGACGGCACTGAAGACGGAAGGGGGAGCACGTCCGTCTGGAAGCTTCGCCCTCGCGGCCCCAGCCCTGGAGACCGGAAACCGAACGCTTCTCCAGCCTTTGCGGGGCCGCAGGAACTCGGGGTGCCGCCCCCCAGTGCTCAGGCGGCCCGGGCAGCGCAGAGGGGCCGGGCCGGGGCTGGCGAGGCTGAGGCCCGGCC